CAGCAAGCCTCCTGTTCACCTCGACCCTATTCCCACATCCCTTCCAGGCTTCTCTGGGCTTGTATCTAGTCTCCTGGCCCTTCATCTATAGAACAGTGGATCAGTCCCTTGTCAGTCCCCGTCTCTGTCTCTCAGCCCAATGCACTGCACAAAACAGCCCTCAGCACCCAGATGGGTTACTGTCTCATAGCTCCCTGTGACCTTTGACCCCAGAGAGCAGAGACTCTGAGCAAGCGGGCCCTGAGCACGCAGTCACCATCCCTCTAGCGGGAACACAGGGAAAAGGAGGCTTATTCGTGGCCTGGATGGGACAGAGAAGGAACCCAAAGGATTGGATCCCTCAGCTACACACGAGGACCTAAATTGGCAAATACAGTCTAGCAATCATCTGTCTGTCTCAGGTAGAAGGCAGAGAGGCTCTACCTTACTGGCATCACTCACCCTGCTCTGGTAAAATAGGGAGTGGGGGCACTGTTGGCCTGGAGGCCGTGGTCTTGCCGGGAGTGGTGAGGGTCAAGGAGGTAGCAGGGAGTGATGTGCCTCTACCACTGTCTGTGTTCGGGGAGCTGGTGGTTATTCCTGGAAATAGAGGGAGAGAAGACAAGAGCAGTTTTTACATCAACGACTATGAGAGTCACAGAAACTGAGGAGCAGGGAAAGACAACTAAAATGTTTGTCTATATACTGGCCAACAGCCTCCATGTATAATCACATAGGGGAGAAGGAATAGAGGGCTAGTCATCATTCACTATGAGGAACCACCCCTCAGCTCTTGCCTATATTGGTAGGTAGCTGATTCACCTGAGAAGGATGTCCCATGAGAAAAGTTGTCTGTCACAGTGGGTCCAGATGAAGAGGATGAATGGTTTTCTGTGGTCACCTCAGTGAGGGTGCTGGTTTGATATACGCTGGAGGTCGCCATGCTTGTGGTCTGGTAACTCTGAGAATATGTTGATGATGCCTGAGTAGAGGTGCTGTATGCCAGGATTGTAGACTGTCCAGTGAGAGTACTGCTTGACACTCCAGATGTGACGACACTGAAGCTTCCCGTTACATGTGCAGATGTGTGCCCTGTACTTCCTGAGGTGGAGTCTGTGGAGGGTGATGCAGTTGGCATCTCTGATGTGGTTGGGTTTGTGTTGCTAACACTGGAAGTGAATGGATTGGTTGTTGCCTCTGGAGATGAGGTGCCTTGGGACCCTGTCTGTGCTGGAGTTGAGCCTCTTGGGGAAGAGGAAAGAGTGGATGTGGTCACCTGTGTGAGAGGGGTGCTTTGAGGATTGCTGCTGGTCTCCATGCTTCCAGTGTGGCCATTCTGAGAAGAGGTGGACAATTCCTGAGGAGAGGTGAAGGGTGTTGCGGTTGTTGACAGGACACTTGGTGAATTTGTCATTGAGACTGTGGTAATGATAGATGTGGAACTTTGAGAAACAGCTGGAGATGTGTGCCCTGTACTTCCTGAGGTGGAGTCTGTGAAGAGTGATGCAGTTGGCATTTCTGTCATGGGTGGGTTTGTGTTGCTAACACTGGAAGTGAATGAATTGGTTGTTGCCTCTGGAGATGAGGTGCCTTGGGACCCTGTCTGTGCTGGAGTTGAGTCACTTGAGGAAGAGGACAGAGTTGATGTGGTCACCTGTGTGAGAGGGGTGCTTTGAGGATTGCTGCTGGTCTCCATGCTTCCAGTGTGGCCATTCTGAGAAGAGGTTGACAATTCTTGATTAGAGGTGATGGGAGATGTCACTGTTGACAGGACATTTGGTGAATTTGTCATTGAGACTGTGGTAATGATAGATGTGGAACTTTGAGAAACAGCTGGAGATGTGTGCCCTGTATTTCCTGAGGTGGAGTCTGTGGAGGGTGATGCAGTTGGCATTTCTGTCATGGGTGGGTTTGTGTTACTAACACTGGAAGTGAATGGATTGGTTGTTGCTTCTGGAGATGAGGTGCCTTGGGACCCTGTCTGTGCTGGAGTTGAGTCACTTGAGGAAGAGGACAGAGTTGATGTGGTCACCTGTGTGAGAGGGGTGCTTTGAGGATTGCTGCTGGTCTCCATGCTTCCAGTGTGGCCATTCTGAGAAGAGGTTGACAATTCTTGATTAGAGGTGATGGGAGATGTCACTGTTGACAGGACATTTGGTGAATTTGTCATTGAGACTGTGGTAATGATAGATGTGGAACTTTGAGAAACAGCTGGAGATGTGTGCCCTGTACTTCCTGAGGTGGAGTCTGTGAAGAGTGATGCAGTTGGCATTTCTGTCATGGGTGGGTTTGTGTTACTAACACTGGAAGTGAATGGATTGGTTGTTGCTTCTGGAGATGAGGTGCCTTGGGACCCTGTCTGTGCTGGAGTTGAGTCACTTGAGGAAGAGGACAGAGTTGATGTGGTCACCTGTGTGAGAGGGGTGCTTTGAGGATTGCTGCTGGTCTCCATGCTTCCAGTGTGGCCATTCTGAGAAGAGGTTGATGATTCCTGATTAGAGGTGATGGGAGATGTTACTGTTGACAGGACATTTGGTGAATTTGTCATTGAGACTGTGGTAATGATAGATGTGGAACTTTGAGAAACAGCTGGAGATGTGTGCCCTGTATTTCCTGAGGTGGAGTCTGTGGAGAGTGATGCAGTTGGCATCTCTGATGTGGTTGGGTTTGTGTTGCTAACACTGGAAGTGAATGGATTGGTTGTTGCTTCTGGAGATGAGGTGCCTTGGGACCCTGTCTGTGCTGGAGTTGAGTCACTTGAGAAAGAGGACAGAGTTGATGTGGTCACCTGTGTGACAGGGGTGCTTTGAGGATTGCTGCTGGTCTCCATGCTTCCAGTGTGGCCATTCTGAGAAGAGGTTGATGATTCCTGATTAGAGGTGATGGGAGATGTCACTGTTGACAGGACATTTGGTGAATTTGTCATTGAGATTCCTGTAATGGCAGATGTGGAAGTTCGAGAAACAGCTGGAGATGTGTGCCCTGTATTTCCTGAGGTGGAGTCTGTGGAGGGTGATGCAGTTGGCATCTCTGATGTGGGTGGGTTTGTGTTGCTAACACTGGAAGTGAATGGATTGGTTGTTGCCTCTGGAGATGAGGTGCCTTGGGACCCTGTCTGTGCTGGAGTTGAGCCTCTTGGGGAAGAGGAAAGAGTGGATGTGGTCACCTGTGTGAGAGGGGTGCTTTGAGGATTGCTGCTGGTCTCCATGTTTCCAGTGTGGCCATTCTGAGAAGAGGTGGACAATTCCTGAGGAGAGGTGAAGGGTGTTGCGGTTGTTGACAGGACACTTGGTGAATTTGTCATTGAGACTGTGGTAATGATAGATGTGGAACTTTGAGAAACAGCTGGAGATGTGTGCCCTGTATTTCCTGAGGTGGAGTCTGTGGAGGGTGATGCAGTTGGCATTTCTGTCATAGGTGGGTTTGTGTTGCTAACACTGGAAGTGAATGGATTGGTTGTTGCCTCTGGAGATGAGGTGCCTTGGGACCCTGTCTGTGCTGGAGTTGAGTCACTTGAGAAAGAGGACAGAGTTGATGTGGTCACCTGTGTGAGAGGGGTGCTTTGAGGATTGCTGCTGGTCTCCATGCTTCCAGTGTGGCCATTCTGAGAAGAGGTTGATGATTCCTGATTAGAGGTGATGGGAGATGTCACTGTTGACAGGACATTTGGTGAATTTGTCATTGAGACTGTGGTAATGATAGATGTGGAACTTTGAGAAACAGCTGGAGATGTGTGCCCTGTACTTCCTGAGGTGGAGTATGTGGAGAGTGATGCAGTTGGCATCTCTGATGTGGGTGGGTTTGTGTTACTAACACTGGAAGTGAATGGATTGGTTGTTGCTTCTGGAGATGAGGTGCCTTGGGACCCTGTCTGTGCTGGAGTTGAGTCACTTGAGGAAGAGGACAGAGTTGATGTGGTCACCTGTGTGAGAGGGGTGCTTTGAGGATTGCTGCTGGTCTCCATGCTTCCAGTGTGGCCATTCTGAGAAGAGGTTGATGATTCCTGATTAGAGGTGATGGGAGATGTTACTGTTGACAGGACATTTGGTGAATTTGTCATTGAGACTGTGGTAATGATAGATGTGGAACTTTGAGAAACAGCTGGAGATGTGTGCCCTGTATTTCCTGAGGTGGAGTCTGTGGAGAGTGATGCAGTTGGCATCTCTGATGTGGTTGGGTTTGTGTTGCTAACACTGGAAGTGAATGGATTGGTTGTTGCTTCTGGAGATGAGGTGCCTTGGGACCCTGTCTGTGCTGGAGTTGAGTCACTTGAGAAAGAGGACAGAGTTGATGTGGTCACCTGTGTGAGAGGGGTGCTTTGAGGATTGCTGCTGGTCTCCATGCTTCCAGTGTGGCCATTCTGAGAAGAGGTGGACAATTCCTGAGGAGAGGTGAAGGGTGTTGCGGTTGTTGACAGGACACTTGGTGAATTTGTCATTGAGACTGTGGTAATGATAGATGTGGAACTTTGAGAAACAGCTGGAGATGTGTGCCCTGTACTTCCTGAGGTGGAGTCTATGGAGAGTGATGCAGTTGGCATTTCTGTCATGGGTGGGTTTGTGTTACTAACACTGGAAGTGAATGAATTGGTTGTTGCCTCTGGAGATGAGGTGCCTTGGGACCCTGTCTGTGCTGGAGTTGAGTCACTTGAGGAAGAGGACAGAGTTGATGTGGTCACCTGTGTGAGAGGGGTGCTTTGAGGATTGCTGCTGGTCTCCATGCTTCCAGTGTGGCCATTCTGAGAAGAGGTTGACAATTCTTGATTAGAGGTGATGGGAGATGTCACTGTTGACAGGACATTTGGTGAATTTGTCATTGAGACTGTGGTAATGATAGATGTGGAACTTTGAGAAACAGCTGGAGATGTGTGCCCTGTACTTCCTGAGGTGGAGTCTGTGAAGAGTGATGCAGTTGGCATTTCTGTCATGGGTGGGTTTGTGTTACTAACACTGGAAGTGAATGGATTGGTTGTTGCTTCTGGAGATGAGGTGCCTTGGGACCCTGTCTGTGCTGGAGTTGAGTCACTTGAGGAAGAGGACAGAGTTGATGTGGTCACCTGTGTGAGAGGGGTGCTTTGAGGATTGCTGCTGGTCTCCATGCTTCCAGTGTGGCCATTCTGAGAAGAGGTGGACAATTCCTGAGGAGAGGTGAAGGGTGTTGCGGTTGTTGACAGGACATTTGGTGAATTTGTCATTGAGACTGTGGTAATGATAGATGTGGAACTTTGAGAAACAGCTGGAGATGTGTGCCCTGTACTTCCTGAGGTGGAGTCTGTGAAGAGTGATGCAGTTGGCATTTCTGTCATGGGTGGGTTTGTGTTGCTAACACTGGAAGTGAATGAATTGGTTGTTGCCTCTGGAGATGAGGTGCCTTGGGACCCTGTCTGTGCTGGAGTTGAGTCACTTGAGGAAGAGGACAGAGTTGATGTGGTCACCTGTGTGAGAGGGGTGCTTTGAGGATTGCTGCTGGTCTCCATGCTTCCAGTGTGGCCATTCTGAGAAGAGGTTGACAATTCTTGATTAGAGGTGATGGGAGATGTTACTGTTGACAGGACATTTGGTGAATTTGTCATTGAGACTGTGGTAATGATAGATGTGGAACTTTGAGAAACAGCTGGAGATGTGTGCCCTGTATTTCCTGAGGTGGAGTCTGTGGAGGGTGATGCAGTTGGCATTTCTGTCATGGGTGGGTTTGTGTTACTAACACTGGAAGTGAATGGATTGGTTGTTGCTTCTGGAGATGAGGTGCCTTGGGACCCTGTCTGTGCTGGAGTTGAGTCACTTGAGGAAGAGGACAGAGTTGATGTGGTCACCTGTGTGAGAGGGGTGCTTTGAGGATTGCTGCTGGTCTCCATGCTTCCAGTGTGGCCATTCTGAGAAGAGGTTGACAATTCTTGATTAGAGGTGATGGGAGATGTCACTGTTGACAGGACATTTGGTGAATTTGTCATTGAGACTGTGGTAATGATAGATGTGGAACTTTGAGAAACAGCTGGAGATGTGTGCCCTGTACTTCCTGAGGTGGAGTCTGTGAAGAGTGATGCAGTTGGCATTTCTGTCATGGGTGGGTTTGTGTTACTAACACTGGAAGTGAATGGATTGGTTGTTGCTTCTGGAGATGAGGTGCCTTGGGACCCTGTCTGTGCTGGAGTTGAGTCACTTGAGGAAGAGGACAGAGTTGATGTGGTCACCTGTGTGAGAGGGGTGCTTTGAGGATTGCTGCTGGTCTCCATGCTTCCAGTGTGGCCATTCTGAGAAGAGGTTGACAATTCTTGATTAGACGTGATGGGAGATGTTACTGTTGACAGGACATTTGGTGAATTTGTCATTGAGATTCCTGTAATGGCAGATGTGGAAGTTGGAGAAACAGCTGGAGATGTGTGCCCTGTATTTCCTGAGGTGGAGTCTGTGGAGGGTGATGCAGTTGGCATTTCTGTCATAGGTGGGTTTGTGTTGCTAACACTGGAAGTGAATGCATTGGTTGGTGCTTCTGGAGATGAGGTGCCTTGGGACCCTGTCTGTGCTGGAGTTGAGTCACTTGAGAAAGAGGACAGAGTTGATGTGGTCACCTGTGTGACAGGGGTGCTTTGAGAATTGCTGCTGGTCTCCATGTTTCCAGTGTGGCCATTCTGAGAAGAGGTTGATGATTCCTGATTAGAGGTGATGGGAGATGTCACTGTTGACAGGACATTTGGTGAATTTGTCATTGAGATTCCTGTAATGGCAGATGTGGAAGTTCGAGAAACAGCTGGAGATGTGTGCCCTGTATTTCCTGAGGTGGAGTCTGTGGAGGGTGATGCAGTTGGCATCTCTGATGTGGGTGGGTTTGTGTTGCTAACACTGGAAGTGAATGGATTGGTTGTTGCCTCTGGAGATGAGGTGCCTTGGGACCCTGTCTGTGCTGGAGTTGAGCCTCTTGGGGAAGAGGAAAGAGTGGATGTGGTCACCTGTGTGAGAGGGATGCTTTGAGGATTGCTGCTGGTCTCCATGTTTCCAGTGTGGCCATTCTGAGAAGAGGTGGACAATTCCTGAGGAGAGGTGAAGGGTGTTGCGGTTGTTGACAGGACACTTGGTGAATTTGTCATTGAGACTGTGGTAATGATAGATGTGGAACTTTGAGAAACAGCTGGAGATGTGTGCCCTGTACTTCCTGAGGTGGAGTCTGTGGAGAGTGATGCAGTTGGCATCTCTGATGTGGTTGGGTTTGTGTTGCTAACACTGGAAGTGAATGGATTGGTTGTTGCCTCTGGAGATGAGGTGCCTTGGGACCCTGTCTGTGCTGGAGTTGAGCCTCTTGGGGAAGAGGAAAGAGTGGATGTGGTCACCTGTGTGAGAGGGGTGCTTTGAGGATTGCTGCTGGTCTCCATGCTTCCATTGTGGCCATTCTGAGAAGAGGTGGACAATTCCTGAGGAGAGGTGAAGGGTGTTGCGGTTGTTGACAGGACACTTGGTGAATTTGTCATTGAGACTGTGGTAATGATAGATGTGGAACTTTGAGAAACAGCTGGAGATGTGTGCCCTGTACTTCCTGAGGTGGAGTCTATGGAGAGTGATGCAGTTGGCATTTCTGTCATGGGTGGGTTTGTGTTACTAACACTGGAAGTGAATGAATTGGTTGTTGCCTCTGGAGATGAGGTGCCTTGGGACCCTGTCTGTGCTGGAGTTGAGTCACTTGAGGAAGAGGACAGAGTTGATGTGGTCACCTGTGTGAGAGGGGTGCTTTGAGGATTGCTGCTGGTCTCCATGCTTCCAGTGTGGCCATTCTGAGAAGAGGTTGACAATTCTTGATTAGACGTGATGGGAGATGTTACTGTTGACAGGACATTTGGTGAATTTGTCATTGAGATTCCTGTAATGGCAGATGTGGAAGTTGGAGAAACAGCTGGAGATGTGTGCCCTGTATTTCCTGAGGTGGAGTCTGTGGAGGGTGATGCAGTTGGCATTTCTGTCATAGGTGGGTTTGTGTTGCTAACACTGGAAGTGAATGCATTGGTTGGTGCTTCTGGAGATGAGGTGCCTTGGGACCCTGTCTGTGCTGGAGTTGAGCCTCTTGGGGAAGAGGAAAGAGTTGATGTGGTCACCGCTGTGAGAGGGGTCCTTCCAGTGTGGCCGATCTGAGAAGATGCTGACAATTCCTGAGTAGAGGTTTTGGATGTTGTCCCTGTGGTGGGAAGTCCATTTGAAGTTCGTGTGGTGCCTGGATGGAAACTTTGGCTAACCATTATTGATGTGTGTCCTGTGTTAGTTGAAGTTATATCTGTAGAGATCGCTGAGGTCATCTGAGGTGGGCTGGTGACACTGGAAAGGGATGTGTTGGCTGTGTTCGTCAGAGGGGACGTCGTCTGTGTTGTTGATGAAGGAAGTGGTGTCGTTGCTACAGCAGTTCCTTTAAATAAAAGAAAGAAGGACTTTATAGAGTGACTTCTGTAAGGTTTTTTTTTTTTTATCCTCAGCCATGAATGCTGCTCATCGGCACACACAATTTATTGATAAATACCAAGGCACAACTGGCAATGTGAAAATTCCAGAAATTAGGGCACAGGAACAGTGATAAAGAGCACATTCTGCTCTTGCAGAGAAGCAGGGTTGGGTCCCAGAACTCCACCTCCAGCAGCTCACCAGCTCCTACACCTTCAGCCCCAGTAGATCTGAAACCTCTGCCTTTACAGATACGCCCCCACATTCATATACATGATTGAAAATAATAAATATAAATCTCTTCAAATATTCTAGATGTTAGGGAAGGAGAGGGTAGACAAAGGAGGTTGGATTTGAGTAGTGCCCATGTGGAAATATTATACCTAACTCCTCTAATATGCAAATCAATACATACTACTAAAATACTTTTTAAATTCTTAATCAAAAGGTTTATCGTGACTAACCAAAATCAAAACACTCAGGGCAGTGGCTAAGATACCTTTCCATGCACCTCTTAAGTGATTACAGCTTGGGAGCACACATCCTAGTAAATGTGTCAATAATATAAATGAAATGTTCTTCAAAATCTTATATCACAAATGTTCTTCAACTGAAAAGATATCAATTCTGCCCACCAAGGAATTTATAAATAAATATTAAATGTTAATATGCCTGGCATGATTGGAAGTGGCCAATCTTTCTTGCTAAAGTTGTCAAATACTTGTTCCCTTGAAATAGCCCTGAGAGGCAGAAACAAGCAGAGGCAATTTCCCTCCCTATGGTGAGGAAGTAACCCAGGGTAGAAAGAAAGCCTCCGGGACACTGTGTGTCCTCCTGGCCTGAATGAGCCAGGGCTGGTCAACAAAACCTGTTCCAGCTCAGAAGTTCAGAGATCTGTCTTTGGGGAAAGCCCTGGAAAGTGGTCAAGCCAATGAGAGGTGGGGTTGCAGGCTTCCCACAGAGAAGACATCTGCTCAGAGTGGCTTCAAAATGTCTTGTAAATAAGCCTCTTGGCATGTGTGTATAATCCCAGCACTGGGGAGACTGAGGCAGGAAGATCTCAGGTCCCCAGTTTGAGACTACTAGGTCACATAGTGAGTTTGAAGTCAACCTCAGCTACACAGTAAAACTATCTCTCCAAACCCTACCCCAAAGTGAAGGAAAAAAAAAACAAAACCCACGGCTGGGAATGTGGCTCAGCGATAAAGCATGTACTTTTCAAATGTGAAACCCTGGGTTGTGTATCCCAGGATTATAACAAGCAATACTTTTATGACTTGAGGTATCTTCCATGAGACGAAAAAGGCAAAATTAACCTGGAATTGTGAACAGGCAATGGTAGACTCCACAAGGAGGAGACACTGGCCTTCTAGAGAGGTAACTCTTTGTTCCTGGATTATGGTAGTCTCTGCTGTCCTCAGGGAATCCATTCCAAGTCCCCAGTGAATGCCTGGAAGCTTGGGCAATATCCACCCCATATGATATAATGATCTTTCCTATACACATAAACTAAGTTTAATTTATATATTAGGCATAAGAAGAGATTAGCAACAATAATAACACAGAACAGTAATAATAGCTTTGTAATAAGTTATTTAAGACCTACGAATTATTCATTTCTGGAATTTTCCATCTAATGTGCTTAGACTTCAGTTGATTATGGAAGATACTATTTTATAGCATTTTTTTTGTGGGCGTAAATGGAGTTTCTCCTTTTTTCTTGTGCTGGAAGCGAGAACAAGAGCATTGGGAATATCAGACAAACCCTGTACCTGCCTCTAGACTTTAAGCTTTTTTTTTTTTTAACCTAACTGCTTACAAGTAGTCGGGAAGCAGTAAGTTCCCAACAGAGAAATGAACAGCCGAGAGGGAGTTTAGGTTCATGTATGGTTCTTAGAGTTGCCCCCATTCATTCTCTCTCTCTCCCCATCTCTATCTCCACCACACAATGTATCCCAGATTGGTCTCAAATTCACAGCCATCTCTAGCTTCAGCCTCCCTAGGGTGGAGCTATAGGAGCAAACAGCCACGCCCAGCTCCCTTCTTAGGAGCGTCAATCAGACTCTCGAGAAGAGGGGGTTCTGAATCAGCTCTAGTTTATACACACCAAGTGACTCACTCGCAAGCCGGTGTGCTTTATTAACAGTGACTGTTTCTGGGGCTGTCTAAACTGTTGTAGACAAGGAGAGGACTGGACTGCAGAGGGAGTGCCTTTCTGGAAACTCTTATCAAACATTTGAGGATTGTGGCGTTTCAGCTTCACAGAATCTCTCCCAGAGTTTGAAAGAAGAGGGCTTTTGACTGATTTTGTAATGCTAATGTAACTTTAATGTTAAAACTATACGGAGACAATTCAGAAAGAAAAACTAAGATGAATAAATCTTGGTAATAACATACCTAGAAATATCCTAGACAAAAATATTAGCGAGCCTAATCCAACGTTAGATTTTTATAAGTATATTACAGAAAAGCCGAATTTAGCCGGGCGGTGGTGACGCACGCCTTTAATCCCAGCACTCGGGAGGCAGAGCCAGGCGGATCTCTGTGAGTTCGAGGCCAGCCTGGGCTACCAAGTGAGTTCCAGGAAAGGCGCAAAGCTACACAGAGAAACCCTGTCTCGAAAAACCAAAAAAAAAAAAAAAAAAAAAAGTTTTAGCCGGGCGGTGGTGGCGCACGCCTTTAATCCCAGCACTTGGGAGGCAGAGCCAGGCGGATCTCTGTGAGTTCGAGGCCAGCCTGGGCTACCAAGTGAGTTCCAGGAAAGGCGCAAAGCTGCACAGAGAAACCCTGTCTCGAGAAGCCAAAAAAAAAAAAAAGAAAAGCCGAATTTAGACCAGAAATGCAAAAATGAATGTAAAACCCAATGAAAATCATCATAGAAGCCAAGAGCGGGGAATGTGACCATCCAGGGACATAAGCTATTTAAAACCTATGAGTATTCATGCCTTCCTTTTAAAGTCCTAAACGTCAGCTGTGGGGTTCACACCTGTATACCCAGTATTTGGGAGGCTGAGACAGGAGGATTGATGATGAGTTTGATGCCAAGTTGAATAATGTGGAGAGAAAAAAAAAGTTCTGGGCTGCTGAGATGGAGCAGAGGTTAAGGGTGCTTACAACCAAGCTTGATGACTCGAGTTTGATCCCCAGGACCCACATAGTGGGGAAGGAGAAACTGACTCCCACAAGTTGTCTTATGACCTCAACATGTATACCATGGCATACGTGTGTGTGTGTGTGTGTGTGTGTGTGTGTGTGTGTGTGTGTGTGTGTGACACACACTGGAATGTAAGCAAACTAGTTTTCTGGCAAACAAAAGATGTTAACCCCCTTATCTTCATCGATATAACATAATAACACAGTCAGTAAAGATAAAGCGGAGGAAGCATCTCCTGTAAAATTAGAAATCAGGCCAAGATGCCGCCAGCCTCTCCTCCTTACTGTCAGGATGGCGGCCTTAGCAGGTGCAACGAAGGGAAAAGAAACAAGGGATGCAGCAGTGTGCAGAATCTCTTCTTCATATGGAAAGGGAAGAAGAAAGCTTATGATTATTTGAAGATAATATAATCGTTTATATAAGAAAACAAATGGGGGCCGGGATGCTTGCAGCTCAGTGGTAGAGCTCCAGCTTAAGATGTATGCGGCCCTGCAAGCTATTCCACAACCAGTACAAAAACAGAAATCGCAAGAAAGAAGAGAGTGAGGGAGGAAGGGAGGGGGAGAGGGAGAGAGAGGGGAAGGGGAGGAAGGAGGAAAAAGCCCTTTGAATTTATAAATTATTAGCAAAGTTTTCCATATATGATCAAATTTTTGAAACAACTTCTTCCCTAAACATTAGTGAAATACAAACATTTTAAAAACTGTAATGTTTATGTAGTAATATAAAGTCCTGAAGACAAATCTAACTAAAGATATGTTCCATCTTTATGGACAAAGTCATACATATAACCTCACTGAAACATGTAGAAGAAGACATGATCATTTTACTCTTTTGGGAAACAGTTGAAAAACAAAAAATTCCATAGTCTCATTGCCTATACATTGTTCTTTTCCCAAGTTTTTCCTATGTTTTGTGTGTGTGTGTGTGTGTATGTGTGTGTGTGTGTGTGTGTGTGTGTGTGTGTGTATAAACACGCTGGTGGGCTTCGGTCAACTTGACATAAACCTAAATGTATTGGAAAGAAGGAATTGAGAAATTGCTTTCATTAGGCTGACCCATAGACAAGCCTGTGGGACATTTTCTTGGTTAATGATGGATGTGGGAGGGTCCAGCTCACTGTGAGCAGGTGGTCCAGGTTGTATAAGAAAGCAGGCTGAGGAGACCATGGAGAGCAAGCCAATAAGCAGCATTTCTCTATGGTCTCTGCCTCAGATCCTGTCTCTAGTTCCTGCCTTGACTTCCCTCAGAGATGGACTGTTACCTGGCAGTATAAGCTAAATCAACCCTTTCTTCCCCAAGCTGCTTTTAGTCATGGTATTTTCTCACAGCCACAGAAACCCTAACTAAGCCTGGCGGTGGTGGTGCACGCCTTTAATCCCAGCACTCTGGAGGCAGAGGCAGGTGGATCTCTGTGAGTTTGAGGCCAGCCTGGTCTACAGAGTGAGTTCTAGGACAGCCAGGGCTATACAGAG